TTAATGCCAGGTGAGTCATGCAAGCAGCCACACAGTAAAAACTGGAACTAAGTATAGGGGTGTCTGTTTCAAGGGCTATCAGTGCTGCTTTTCCAATGAAAAGATAGGCATGATATTCTAGTGGTCTTAATATAAAAAGTCTTGAATGTTGAAATAAGTACATGTATTCTTGCCAACCTCACTTTTCACCGCCTGGGCAATGGGTATGGTCTTGAGTTGCAATTACAAAATGGCAGCTTTACCCACTCTGCTCCTGCTCTGTTTTTTCTAGGCAGTGAAGAAAGCTATTTTAGAAGATATGATCAGACTGGGGAAAGAGGCTGGTCTTAAATCCTTTGAACAAGTGAGTACTTCTAAATCATGCTTGTCACAAGCACCTGTATTGCTAATGCAATGGCTGGAAAGCCTTCGTTCCTGTTGTTGGCTGTGCCAGGATGGGACCCAAGACAGTTGCCCCAGACAACTGATTGAAGTAGGCAGTGAAACATTGACTGCCTGCCTCTTGACCAAGAGACAGATGGCTGTACAGGGCAACAGTCGCAATTGCTGTGAGATGGAGTGGAGGTTCACCATAGGCTGCAAGAGCGGTACTGTAGTTCCAGCATATCCTCTTGCTGTGTCAGCCAAAAGGAGTTTGACTTGCATCAAAAACCAGTTTAGTTATTGGACCTCCTGAGACTGAGGGAGTTCTTGCACTGAGCTCAAGGAAGCTGTGAAGAACTGTTGCTTTTCCTCTAAGTAATTATGCAAATGTCACATGCTAAATTACTTTCTTTTAATAGGTTAAAGACCTGTACATCCACACAGAGATGTTCTCTGTAGAAAATGGACTCTTGACACCAACACTGAAGGCAAAACGAGCAGAGCTCGTTAAAGTCTTTGAGAAGCAGATTGAGGCACTCTATTCAAGTACACAGGAATGAGTGGTCAGTTTAAATTAAACTGCATGGAGTATCCAAGCAAATCTGTGACACTACATGATCTGGGGAGAGCACACACATGAGTGGAGGAGAGCAAGGAGAACTTAAATATATTTGTTTCTGGTATCCTGGGAAAAATGACTTTCAGATGAAGATGGCTATAGTACAACTGGCAGTGTTCACATCTTGCAGGACTAAGCATCAGCTATCTAGGCGAAGCCTGAACGTTCATCTTCCTTGGACTCTGACTGAAGTGCAAAAACATTCAAGAGCCCTCAGCCTTTAAGAGACAGCAGTATGAACTTCTCACTGCCAAAAGCAAATGTTGTTTTCCTCCAACTATGAACTCCATTGACTTGTAAATTGCAATCAGACTGAACTCTTTCATGCAGTTACCTGTTTGGGCAGGGGGGTGGGGGGAGCAGAGGAGATGGTTAAAAAACCCAAGTGCAGAAAAATAACACTTCAATTTCCGCTCAGGATGCTATAACCTGTCTCAATTCAAGCTGTCACAAGATGAATTGGTGCTTGGGATTGTCCCGACCCAGATGTAGGACCCTGCACTTGGCCTTGTTGAACTTCATGAGGCCCACCTCTCCAGCCTGTCCAGGTCCCTCTGGATGGCATCCCTCCCCTCCAGTATGTCTACCTCACCATACAGCTTGGTATCATTGGCAAACTTGCTGAGGGTGCACTCAATCCCACTGTCCATGTCTCCAACAAAGATGTTGAACAGCACGGGTCCCAGTACCGACCCCTAAGGAACGCCACTCATCACTGGGCTCCACTTGGACATTGAGCAGTTGACCACAACTCTTTGAGTGCAAATGTCCAGCCAGTTCTTTAGCCACTGAGTGGTCCATCTGTCAAATCCATGTCTCTCCAATCTAGAGACCAGGATATCATGTGGGACAGCGTCAAATGCTTTGCACAAGTCCAGGTAGATGACATCAGTCACTCTTCCCTTGTCCACTGCCGCTGTAACCCCTTGTAGAATTTGTCAGGCAGGACTTGCCCTTGGTGAAGCCACGCTGGCTGCTACCAGTCACCTCCTTATTTCCCATGTGCCTTAGCAGAGTTTCCAGGAGGATCTGCTCCATGATCTTGCCGGGCACAGAGGGGAGACTGCCCAGCCTGTAGTTCCCTGAGTCTTCCTTTTTTCCCCTTTTTGAAAATAGGGGTTATGTTTCCTCTTTTCCAGTTGGCAGGAACCTCACCAGACTGCCACAACTTCTCAAATATGACGGATAGTGGCTTAGCAACTTAGATTGCCTGATTTAGGCTCTCCAAATTATGCAAGACTTGTATACCAAAATACAATTTGTTAAATGTATTTTCTTTCCATCTCTATGTGACACGCCCTGTGCCTGCAACTTCATTACTGGTTAGTCTCTTTTGGTCCTTATCCTGAGAGCAAGTGTTCAGAGGGAAATATTGACTCTTAATTCATCATTTGGCTTTAATGAGATCCTTATAATCAATGCTCGCAAGACAGATCTGGAATCATTCACTAATGCTATAGCTAGGAAACTCAACTGTAAAAACCAGATAACCGGCAAATCCAGGCTTCATAGCCTAGGAAGTTCTCTTTTCTCCTCCTGGTAACTACTCCGCATTTGAAAAACTAACTGTATGGGAGATGCTTAAACTCTATCGTGAGCTTGTATTTGCTCAACTCTTAAGATCTGGATTAAAATTAGAAGCCTCTTGGTTAAGACTATTGAGGAGGAGAGAACTCTTTAATTATTGATTTCTTTTACTATTGGCAATCACCTCAAAGTTACCAGGCATGAGAATACCAAAGCTAGTCTTTTGCACAGCCTGTTGTATATGGTAATCTAGCCCCTTCCTCATTAGGAACCGAGACACCTGGCACAGTCAGCGGCTTTACTCTGCAAAGGAAAGTCTCTTTGGATTGGAGGCCAAAGCGAGGGCAGGTGCGTAGAAAGCAAAATTTTCTTTGATTTGGTGGTTGAACAGCCTGCCCAAGATATCCATTCAGCATGGCCAGTATTGTCTGCTTTTATGACAGATTCTGTTTCTATTTTGGTGCAAAAACTGCCTGAACTAAAGTAGGTGGATATTTCTTATTACCCTGTTTCAATGTTTTCCTTTAAATAGGAAATACACTTCAGTATGTATTACCCTTACTTTCCATCATACTAGAGCCCGAGCCAGCCTTGTGTGGTATTGCAAGTCTAGACTTGCTGTTAGATGACAGAAAGGATGCCAAGCTCAAAATTTTAGATACAAATAGTAATTCTTCCCCAGGGAAAAACAAGAGATAGTTTAATAGAGCTAACTGCTGTGTGAAAAAGACACTTGCTTTTTGCTTCCCTCAGACCTGGCTTCTCTAGGGATTTGAACCTAAAAGAAAATCTGATGAATCACTGCAGAACACAAAACACTGTCAAATCTATACCTGCTCCTTTCCTTAATAAACAGAAAGCAAAATGCAGGGAGCGGGGAATGACAAAGGAAAAAAAAAAGGTAGAATAGAATCGGCTGGTAGAAAGGAAGGAAAAGAAAACCCACTCGTATTAAGTATCAGAGTTCCTTAGAGGTGTTTTTTCTATAAACTTCATGCTCCGATAGTATTCAGCAATGAAAAGACGGCTTGTATTTTCTTGGCTGCAGAATCTCTAAATGCCTTTAGCAGGTATGCATTATGTTTTAGCTGATTCTTTGTAGGCAAGCGCTGCTGAGTCAAGGTGTCGTAATGGTAAATGTGCTACAAAAGGGATGAGGTGGGACCAAAGTCAAGATGAAAGCTTAAAAAGAAAAGCATATAGAGTCCATTTCAGTTTGTAAGTGCACTTCTGAATCAGAGCTCCTGGGCACAATCTGGGCACGTTCACAGTGTAGTGATTTTGGTATGCAAAATTCTGCTCAGATGAAAGCTGAAATCCAGTTGAAGCAGCTCTTCAATCACTAAAAGATATCCAGCTCCCTATAAACAGACCACAGCTTACATGAATTCTCCTCCTAACAGCTAACAATCAACTGTGGCCATTAGTGCTGTTAATTTGTTCCTATTACACTGTTAACTGCTGCCTGCTAATATAGATAGTAGCTATTTTATCATTTCAAAGGCAAGAACAAGTTACCAGCTTCCTCAGCTGGAAGACAAGCTTATCTTTGTTTAGTTCTAGACTCCACAGACACTGAACAGAAACTACTGCAGTTGAGACTAAGAGTATTTCATGCCATTTGAAGGTTTTCATATTAATTTCTAAAATAGCTACAACCTGCTGAGTTATGGTCTTTCACCTCTAATGAAGCCCGCTTCTAGAAAATAGGGCTTTGATTTCAAAAGGGGCAAAGCAGCTGCTTGCAATCTACTGGAACACTCCCAATTGCCACAGCTCATAATCAGCCTAGGATTATGGCTCACCATGAGCGCTAACGCACAGCAGGCTGGCAGTAACAAAAAACTGGCTTTGTGCTAGAGGTAAAGAGTCTGAGTAGAAGTATACAGGAGTAATGCTGGCTTATTCTTATGTAGTTATTTCTATAAACACTTAATATAGTTTAAGAAATGCTCATCTAGCTGAAATTACTCATGCAGGTGGAGGTAAATCAGTTGTTAGTTTAAAATAGTAATTTGCAAAAGCTCTCAAAACGTGACATGCAACTAGACCAAATACGAGAGAACAAAACAACCTGCTGCATTTAGGACACATTTAGAAAGCCTTCAGCTGGTACAGGTTACTCCATTTTAAGGTCTTCCTTCTAATAAACCATACCAGATGCTAAATAAAAATGCTTTAGGAAAGGTGTTAATCACTTAGCAACTAGGCTTACAAAAATATTCATGCTTGGCACCACTGCTTCCTTTCACTCCAAGATGGATCAAGAACTCTAGTCTCTTGGGTACACGCTCAGATTTCATAGGGAACTGATAAAGCTGGCTATATTTTTTGCCATTAAAAGCACAGAATGTTCTTATAAGCAAGAGCTGAAGTCTTTCTAACCTTGAAAAGCAACTTATGACAGTGAAATCTTTACTTCCCAATCAGTTCACATTCCCATGCCTACAAACAAGTTCTTGTAGGTCTAAGAACAATTAAATCCACAAGTGAATATGAATGTATCATTTATTTGAGGTGGACAATTCACATCATTAAAAGTCACAGGTAACAAATCTTATCTTGAATTTGAATCAGATGTTTATTTTATAGTTTTCAGGGGCAGCTTCAGAGAAAGTAAAATACAAAAGATAAGCAGCACGCATCACAACCAGATGCGGTTGAGGAAAAAACCCTAAAATATGAACCCTCAGAATGCAATTTAGACAGGAAAAAGAAAAAAAACCTGAAGTGATGAAAAAGATGCATCTTGAAGGCAATCCACTGAATGGCTTCTTCGGTTATTTATTGTTAAAAAAGTATGCAAACCATGGCACGATCCAACTCTTTCAGCTGCGAGGAAGAGAAAACCTTGTCCTAACATATTCATTGCATAAGTCTAAAGTAATATACAGAAAATTTCAAGTAAAGGATTGTGGTTTGAAGTAAAAATTCCATTTCTTATTTAAAAAATTAGAAGGCTATCTGTTTTTCTTCTCTCCATCCACTGGTTGATCCGTTTCAGAGTCATATTGGCATTTTTCCACACATTTCCTAGGGAACCAGCCTCGTTCTCTTATTCCACCTTAAGACATGAAAAGTTGCATTAACTTGGAAAAAAACATGATCCACTACAGAGGAAAAACACAGGACTGGAAGAGACATCAAGAGGTTACCTAGTTTATTTTCTTCTCCGAGGCAGGACACGAAAGTCATTCCTAACATCATTGCTTAGGGACACATGGAGTCTCTCTCTCGTTGCCCAAAATGTTTTCAGAGATCTCCAGTTTTCCAGTAAAATACCTTCCTTACTATTAGGAAATATTTCCTAATACCCTACCTGAATCTTTCTGTCTAGAATTCAAGTTCACAACTCCTCTTTCTAGACACCAGGGACACAGGAAGCAGCTAACAACCTCCTCTACAACAGACTTTCATGTAGCTGATGACTATTTGCACATACTCTGGCCTTCTCCTATCTCCTTTTCCTCTCCAGGTAAGCCACCCCAATTCTTTCAGCTTTCCCTTATAAATCACATTTTCTAGTGCTCTTATTATTCTCATTGTTTTCCTCTCAACCCTTTACAGCTGATCTTCCTCCTTCTTGCAATGCAGTAACTGCTTTTACTTGTGGCAGTATTTCAGCTGAGTCTCTGCCAATGTTGAGTATGGAAGGAGAGAAGAATTATTTCAGGCATCTGGGAAGCTATGAGCTTTTTTCTGTTTTGCAAGTGTTGACTCATTTTAAGATTATGACTGACTTTTTTTCCCTCAGAAGAACTGCTATGTAATCAATTTTTCCACCTTGTTTTGGTGCACTTATTATTCCTGCCTATTTACAGCATTTTGCTATACATTCCTAACAAATCTCATCCTATTTTTGAAGCCTAGTTCTCCAAAATGTCAATGTTATTTTAAATTCTAATCCAGCCTCTCAGTATACACCAAGTTCCCCACCCAGACCACACTTCACCTGATTTAAAAAAAATAAAAAAAATTAAAAAAAATCATCGATATAGCACAGATGTCTCCAGATAATCTTCACAATAAGCAACACAATACAAACTATTACCATGCTTGTTCATTAGGCTTGATGTTTGAAAGAGTTCACTGGTGTGAGCTGCCAAAGCACTTCTAGTCTGCAATGGTCTCAGATCTCCCATGAAAAGCATTGAAACTTTCCATCTAGTAAGCCAATCTGTCGGCTGCCTCTTTTTTTGCCAACAAGGAATGTACGTGCAATGAATTCACAATTGTTTGGAAAAGACAAGAGAATCCAATGCCCCCTCGATGGAAGGTCTGGCAGGTAAAATTTTAGCTCAGTCCTAAGCAGGAGGGCTAACGTAAAAAATGTAAAAATTTCAATGCAGGTGGCTATGATGTTGTCTCTCTATTTAAATATCATCAAAAAAAAGAAATCGCCATTAACCTCTTTAAAGTCTAGAAGTCTAACTTTTTCTTAGACTTTGAAGCAGTGTCCCCCTTCCTATTCAACCTTCAATAAACTACTAATGAATGTTCTTTCAGTCTCACAAATTCATTTGATGTTTATCAAAACTGGTAGATCTACCAGATACAAAGAGCAAAAATTGTGGATGTGGTTTTAAGAGGGGAGAGAAGCCAATAATGTCATTCTACATTTTGAAAACTGAACACGTAATATTGTCCACATTTCTAGACAGCTATAAAATTGATTCGTAATTTTCAACAGAAAAAGTGAAAAATAACTGCTTCATACCATCAGCAGCTGAGTCGAGAATCTTCTCACCATACATCCAGTGTCTGAGGAAGAAAGCATAATAGGTAATTAGATGCCAGAACTCATCTCAATATTTCTTTTAACCAAACATAAAGGTGTGGAGCCACTAACTTTAAGCCTCTTGTGGCTAAAATCAGATCCCCTTTACTCAGTGCAATTCTAGGTTCTTCAGTGCACGGTGTTGTGAAGAATGTTTTAACACCTTTAGTCACAGGGCAGCAGACACCACTGTAATCTTCTACTGCTCGATACCGCACCTACAAATTTGAACAGAACACAGCCATATATTATTGTAAGGAGTTTCAGCCTTGCTGAGTTTCATACCGAAAAAAAAAAAAAAAAAAAAATCAAGTACACCAATAGATTTGAGCATAGTGACAAGAGCTGTCAAAGGGTCTCTAAATTCTAAATTAACTGCTTAACAATGAAGCACAGTAATCTTTATTACCACGTTTCTTACCATCTGGAAACTAAGGAGTAAATGCAGAGAAAGCTGAATGCTAAGTTTAATTAAGCAGAGGTTGCAGCACACTGTTTGTGTAGAAACACAGAGTATTTGATTGGTAGGTTTAAAATCAAGAAATTAAAGTCTCAGCAATTACTGACATTTATTTATACTGATATTTCAAAGTCATTTCATATCAAACTTCACAAATACTTACACTTCTTATTCGCTTGTCTGCTTTCTGTTTCAGTTGCTCTATCTATAAATGATTATAAATGGAAATATAATTAGCATGTAAAAGCACTCACAAAAGCATAACTTTTTAGTCTATCAAAAACAGGAGAACATTTGACAGAACTCCCGTTTCTTAAGTATATTTATTACTACTCAGTCTATTTTAGTTATTTAAAAAGTTGGTATATCACTGCAAAGGCAAGCAATTGGATAGTAGGGAAAATTAACTTGACTCTTCATTGAAGATCAGTTACCGTCAAACTGTATTGATGACAGCCATCTCTTACTGGCCAGTCCAGGCCATCTCCCTCAGGAATCCCAGACCATGTAAACACTTGCTTGAAGTTCTTCCATTTACTTCCCATGTCATAAGGGAAAATAAAGGTCTCACCCGTTTGGTAGTACTGGATTCTGTCTTTGGCCTGGAAAACAATTAAGAAATGCAGTACACAAAAACATACCCTACAAACTGCAATTGAGTAGCATATATTAAGAAGGTCAGGTCATATGCCCTATATGGGTCTAAGAGACCTAAAGGCAAATGTTTTGAGGCAAGAGCAGTAAATTCGTGCTATAGTAACCCAGGCTTTTAAAACCACTTACAACAATCACGGCATTTAGAAGTGCATCTGGTTTGGGTCCTCCCCCCCTCCCCCTGATTCTATTTTATAACTTTTTTCAAAGACTGATGCCTGACTATTTCTCAGTTATATACAAAGACTTCCACAGCTCAGGATTCTTTGATTAATGATCATGAGCATTATTCAACATTGGTAGTGTCTATTCCACCTCTAAGAAGTGCATATACAGGCACTGAATGTCCCACATTCTGCAGTCATGAACTTTTCATTCTTTCAGTAATGATGACATCTAGTGGAACAGCCGCAGAAGAGCGTTCTCTGCTGCAATAATGCTGTTTTTATTAAACACTCATGCATTACAGTCTGTGCTCAGTTTTCAGAAGGGACACATTAGCAGCCTGTGTTTTACAGTAAAAGTTTTAACAGATTATTCCAAATACTACTATATAGTTGTAAAAGGGTTTTCTTTCATTTATGCTCCATTGTCCTATTATTCAAAGGTCTAACACACTAGGATCCAGCTAAGCTAGATTCCGTGCAAAGAGAAGGCATTACAGTACTTAGGTACTTCTACACAGTCAAGATTCTCAGGCTAATTCTCACACAGAATAAAAGAAAGACAACAGGATAATAATGAAATGTTTGTGGACTTATACAAAATAACCTGGTAGCACTGAAATAGTTTCTAAACATTGAGTCAGCTCTGTTTCCTCTAAACTTAGCTTCTGCTGCTTGGCTAAATTTCTTCTGAAAAAAAATCTTGTGAAAACTTGTATAAAGATACGGAAATCAAAGACAAATTCAAAGAAGAGAAGACTAGGTATCTCATTATTTTCTAGTACTTCTCCAAAATCAAGGAAAATCCTCCCAATTTTAATCAGAGAAGTAGGAAATTAGGAAAATCATGAGCCAAAACATGCCACCTAGAATGGGCAGAGGAGGTGGGCAATTAAAGACAAAGGGAGGCATAAGGAGAAGCAAAGATAACTCGAGTTTCAGGTGAAAACACCCACATATTCCAAGCAGATAAGAAAATTCTCTTAAAAGCAAATATTTCTCTATGTTCATATCAATTCCCCCAAACAAAAAAGAAATGAAAAATCTATGCAGTTGAACAATTTCTCATCCATTTCAGTCAATTTCAGAGACAGTGAAGGGAAATGCTGGCTGTAAGTGTTAAGTCAGTGGTGAATTGAAACAACACCTTTGGTTTAAATCCAGACAGGTGAAACGAGAAATTGATAAATATGGAGAATAAGCTTTGTAACAATACAGTACAAGAATGCTGCAACAACAGCTTACCTTTTCTTCAATCCAGGACTCGATTGAAGTTTTATTTGTCAAAATTACTTTCATCTAAAATAAAAGTGTTGGGTAAAATTAGCGTTGATTTTCTCAGAAATACATCAGCTAAGCAAAGAAAACTTTGCTTTTAAAGCAAACTAAATTTGCTTTAAATAACGAAGCAACTTTTATAGGCTTAACTGAAACATATAAAACATTCAAAATTAAGATGCAGCATATGCTAATGCTGTCCTCTAGAATTATACGCTTAGACAGTATCACACGGAATCTCAGTTTATTCTTAAAATGTGTATTTTTGTTTCCTTCCAAAGATTTCAAACATTTGAGAAAATATATCAGGCATGTTTATACCTATTTTCAGGGGTAGGGACATGTACTCCTGAAATAACAAGTATTTTGCCTTTTCTAGAGAGTTTATAAAGCCCATCTCATGTTTTCTTAGTTTTCAACATTTTCACCTCCAAGTTCTTCCATGAGGAAAAAAATAAAATAAAATAACTGTTAATAACAAGAGAGGAATTGGGAGAAAGCAACATAAAACCCTGGAAAAGTTACACAGCACCATAAGCTCTAAACAACTGCTCCTATGTCAATTCTGAATTCTGTTTCTGCTCCACAACCAGACAAAACTTACAGATTTTAACTTCTTTCTTACAGAATTCGCAAACTTACCTGGATAATAAACAGCATACCAACAGCAATAGTTGTTCCTAATGCCAGTCCTAAGGCAAATAAAGATGCAGCAAATGCAGAAAGCCCAAAGGGAATAATGGGTCGAGGATCTCTCTTGGCTGCACTCATGTCAATCTTTACAGAACTCCACCCAAAAGATATCTGCAAAAGTAAAATATCATCATTCGGCTCTAGAACATTCTGACTGCTGAAACAAAACAAATTACCAATAAGAAATCTGGCTCTGAAGGTAGGTGCCCAATTTCTGACAGGTTTATAATGCAAGTGAAATGATTACCAAAAAAAGAAAAAAGTACTCTAAAGATTTTTCCTCCTCAGAAATACATTCTTTGCTAAATGTAGGCCTTGTGTAAACAGAAAGCTAAACCAAAATCGCCGTCTTGTAAGTTCCACAACAAGTTAGGCCTAAAATTTGCAAAAATATCTGGACTCTGGCATATTAACAAAAACGTATTCACCAGTTTCAGACAGAAAATGGTTGCATAGCACAGTATCCATTTTCAATGGAAATGCTACAGGTTTTCCTCTGAAAGCTTTAGCAGACAGTTCTGCAAATAAAACACACAGCCCTCATCTGTTAATCGGTCGATGTTTTCAAGCTCTTCATTGCAATCACAAAGGCTGAAATCAAAGCTTATAATCTTAACCATGGATCTGAGATAAGGGATGTATTCCTGAACAAGCTTTGTTTATTGTTGCTGTAGTTAAATTTTCCCATTTAAAAACAAATCCAATATAATTTATTTTTGGTTCCAGAAAGATGTACTTTTTTTCCCTTGAAGAAAGGGATACAATTCTAAAAAAGCGGCAAGCAAAAGAAAATAAATAGCATCTAACTTGTGCGTTGGAAATAAATAGCAGCTAGTTTCTGCGCCAGCCAAAACACAGCCTGTCTCTCTCTATATAAAGTACTACTCAGAAACTGTCTTCAGTCAATGCAAAGCTCTAGGAAACTCCCAGTGATTATGACAAGCAACAGGAAAAAAAAAAAAGGGAAAGAAAATAAAAACAACTTTCTCTGAATCTTCCTCCAAAGAACGAACATATTTCTCACAGGCAGAGAGCAGAACTGAGAGTACATGTTGAAAGAATAACACGGAATTCCACATGCTGCTTCTCAGGAAACCAATCAATCTCATACCTCCATAAATAAATCACCCATTAACTTAAATAATATTTCAAGCATTTAATTGTGTTTTCTTACTCTGTTGTAAAGCTGAGTGTACATAGTCATAACAAATATGAAAGAAGCGTGAATGCATCCTAGTGGAGCTAAGAGGAGAAACAGAGTGAAAGATGCATGATTCTGATATCCGCAACAGTTGTTGATCCAAGGACAATGGTGATCCATTTTCATGACACATCTGTGAATAATAAGTATTCATTAATATCAAGGGCATTTACTGTTTTTCCAAAAAACACAAAGAAAAAGACAAGTAACTTTCTACTACTCAACCTCCATTCACTCATTTAAACCCCCTGATTTCTAACAGCATCCTTTTTTGTTGCCATTTAGAATGATATTTCATGTTGTAGAGTGAAAGAAAGCAAAACAAAAAGTGCTCTCAGGTCCTACCCTCCCTAATTAAGAGGAGGTCCTCTTTACTCAAACTTGCTAGCTGCTAGGAGACATAGGCCTAGAATGGGTAAGAACTAGCAACACAATAACTAAGCTCTAATATTATTACCATTTTTTTTAACGAGCACACCAGGAAAATAAAGGAAACATCAAATTCCCTGAGAACTACTTGCAGAAAGAACATATAAAGAAACACGGACAGCAGTGTGTTAATGCCTCTTTCTTTTCAGTAGTAGACCCTCTGAACGCTTCATCAATTGCTATGTATTGACCTTACACTACTGTAAGTCCTTTTCAAAAATCTATTTAACAAGCATAAATGCTCTAGAGACACTCTTGTATTCAATATAAAGCTGGTTAATTGGTTTAGCTTACAGGTGCAAAAAACCACCTGATAAAAGATTTGTCCACATCCCAAATTGCATTGATTTAACTCAACAGGTATAAGAGTCACTAATTACAATGTCGCAATTCATCTGCACCAAACCTAAGTGATAAACAAAGGATTGAATTACACAAATATTCATCTCCTCTGAAAATAGAAGTTAACTGTTTTTTAACTACTGACCTGACTATCTTTTAAAACAGTCCATTCCCAATTGGAAGTTCAGTTTCTCCCTTTTTAAGAATTAATTGTTCTTCATTAGCACATGCTGAACTGCCACTGTACAAGTTCTTGAACATGTAATATTAATTATCAGCACAAGTGTTTCTGAAGAAGTTCCTAGATCTTCGCTAGTAACCTCACCCTATTCAGGTGGGCCACAAGTAGTGACTCCATTCAGGCACTGAAACTTGCCATAGCACAGATGACACTCAGCAGTGATTTAAGTTACATACTTCACTGCAACAGGTTAGAAATACATGCAGAATGAGTTACTTTGGCCAGAATTGAGGGAGGCAGAAAATTCCTACTGCGTATCAGCAAAATGGTTTGGAGGATGTGCCGCAGTTTCTTCTGTTTTATTTGACAAAAGATAAATTATTTAAAGAACTTGCTTTTGCAAAGACAGTAATCAGGATCTGCTGCCATTTTCTGCTAAGTCCTCAGTGTAAAGATTGTCACTCAAGGAAATTTTAAATCTCAGGATGATGCAGCCAAATTACAGTACTGCTCCACAGTTTCAGTCTCTAATTCCTAAAAGCACACTAACTGCGTATCTTGTGTTTACAGACATAACAAATAAATGCATATGCTGCAATATCCTTTTACCACATTATCTAATAGTCCTTCAGAGGAGGACCTGCCCAGTAAACCCAAGATAAATGCAACTACAGCCTGGACTGCAGACAGCTGAAGTGGCTTGCTTTTTTCAAGCCACACTAAATTCTGTCGTTGCAACTTTTAGTTCAAAACAAGTCTGTGGGAAGACTAACACATAACAAGGCCCAAACTTTTTAGGTCGGCCCAAAAGGCTAATTAGTTCACTTGACATGCAGACTCCGCTCAAAGAACAACCCTTTAGGGAAGAGTAAAGAACAGTCCATAATTTCCACTCAAATCAACATTTATCTCCCGTTTGGAAAGATGACAGAATAAGCTTTTCTGCTCCATAAGTAGGTGAATGTTTGGACTCCGAACTTAGAAAGGACTGGAAGATTTTTAGGTATTTACACAGCCTCGCTTCCCTGAAACAGTACTGCAACGTTTTGTTAATAGTATTGAGAAGTTCTTAAGAGGAACTAATTTCAAGCTAAAAAGAAAATGTTAAAGACAGATTTATTTATTAAACTAAAACACAGTAAAACCATATAGAAATCATACAACTAGAAAGTGGAAATATTTGAAACAGGTACAGCGTTCATATGGAAATCTTTTAAGAACGCACAATACAAGAATTGGAAGAATAAATTATATTAATATTTCATCACTAGATTAGAAGCTTCTTTAATATGGACTTAAAACAATTTTAAAGAAAGATAGTACCTGTTACACTTTCGACAGTGGTGTGAACGTGGTGCCTTGTAAGACTGACACACTTTACAGTATTGGAGATACATGCAATCCTGAGATTTTTCCTTTAAACAGAAGAATAGGCGTGTTAGATTTATAGATAGTTCTACTGGCAATATATATCTTGGCATTTTCCTAACCTTAGCATCTTTGCTTTCTTCTGACAGGGTGTGTCTCATAACCCAACCCTATTTAATGGTAGGTGGCGAGGAAAGAAAAAACCAAAATGAAATAATCTCTTGGCTATCAACACAGCCATCTCCCACTGTTGAAAGTGCTGGCTGTTAAAAGAAATAAAACAGTTCTTCCATCAGGAAGAGTGACTCTGCAAGCAGGGTTTCATAGTGAAGTTCTGAGAGTAAAACACAGCATGAGGCCTTTATGATTTTCAAAAAAAAGCCTGTGCACCTTGTCTCTCCATTTTATACCCTAAGCCAATCTAGGCTTACTACACAGATACAGTACTGGTAAGCACTAACGTTCAACTAGCTCTTGTTTGCCGCCCTCTCTCTCTTACACACACACCCCCCAACTACAGCAAGGCAAGAGACAGAGAGACTTGTAGATAACAAATAGTAATGCTGGCCAAAATCTTCTGTTCACGAAGTGGAATATCCAGTCGTCCTGCTAGGACTACATCAGGATCCTCTTGTCATTAGATTCTGTTCAGAGAAATATTCCATACAAGTAGAAATGTGATTATGACTGATCTTTATGTCACGCCACTGGAACACAAACTCTGTCCTGCTGTCTTGAGATACTGAACCTGTATCATTCTGGTCCCTGACTACTACTCCTTCCAAGAGATTACTGAAACAAAGGAAATGCAAATTTCTACCTTGCCTTGTAATACTGTGTTGAACAAAATAAACTTTTTTTTTTTTTAATGTGAGTCTGAAAATTACACGTGCTAAATGAAGTTCTAATCCTTATTACTAGCAGCAAAGTCTTCAATACAACGGGGTGTGTGTGTGAGCATGCAGATAACCTTGAAGTTCTCATTCCTGGCTAACAGTACTGGTTTCCTGTTGTTTTGCTTTGAGAAGCACCTACAAAACATAACGATTACAGGCAACAAAGCAGCGTTACCGGTTAGCCCCGGACCACTGTAACAGAACAAGGAAGGGACGGAGCAAGCCGGAGCATACTGGAAACACTGGAAGCAGCAGCAGCAAAGCGGGTGAGAGGCAGAAAGTGAAGATGTCGAAACAAGATAAGGAGGAAGGAGTGGCCCGAGGGGCTGGCTGCATGCTTCGGGGAGAAAAGGGAAACAGTGGCATCAAAAGACAGGCGGTTCCCGCTCTCTCTCCGAGCCCCGCACACGCTCCTGGCGGAGAGGCCGCCCCCCC